ATGAGAGAATGAAAATCAAACCCTGAATGTGAGACTATGGCACAAAGAAGGAACGTCTTAAGACTGCTAATGGGTCCAAGGTTTGTGTTTTGGAGGAATGGAAATGTTCTAAAATTAGATTGTGGTGACACTGTACAACTTTGTGAATATATTAAACAGACACTGAATTGTACACTTAAAATGGGTGAGTTCTATGGTGTGCAAATTATCTCAATAAAGCTGTTAAAAAAGAAGGAAGAGAGGAAGAAAATCTTTAAAAAAAACAACAACCCAGAAACCATGGAAAGGGTGAGTGAAAATTAACTCTGAAAAGAGACAATGGCCATTTCATACCAACAACATCTGCTTCAGCATACTTCAAGACACACTTTTAAGGATGAGGGGATGGGTTATTTATTTATTTATTTTTCCCAAATGGAGCCTGCTGTACTGAGTGGATTAAAAATATCTCTCTTAAATGGTCCTTTCCATTGTAGCCTTAAGAACCTACTGATTTTCACTGGCATAGAATTCTGAGAAATCAATCCTAAGACAAAGTCAGAAACAATGCTAATGTGATATTTCTAACCTAAATATCAACAGGACACATGCCGAATGGCTCATAATCCCTTAAGGAGGGTTGGATTTCACTCATATCTACAGGAATCAGTAATGGCTGTTTTGAAAAACAGAATCTAAATGGGTGATATTAAAAATGGGTAGTACTAACTACCAGAGCCACCTAATAAAGTTTTCTCCAACACATTCTTCTAAGAAGCTGAACCCTCACCCCAAACATCCTTCACCCAGGGGCCCTGACTGTTGAGAGTAGCTCCTTTTTCTAATTTACATAAGGATACTCCACAGGCTAGCAGTGATGCTGGTAACTGTTAAACAGGCAGAATCATAAAGCATAAGTCTAGAACACATAAATAGGACATCATTCCAAGTTTAAAATGTCTGGCATAAACGAATGTTCCTATATCTTGTACCTCCCCCCCCCCCCATTTCAGAACCTCTTTTTCAACAGGTATGAAATAATCAATCAAAAAACAGAGGGACCTTTAACCTCAGAGATAGCTTAATTTTCAAAACTTGTTTAGTCCCATTGCTGATCTCCCAGACAAACTGTTTCCAAATAGCTAATTACCCTGAAATAGCTCACTTCAATACATTAGGAAGGAAAGAGGCAGACTGGACTGAATTATTACACCTTATGAAATTATTACTAATTGTGATATTAAATATTGTCAGAAATCCAAAACAAATGTTCTTTCTTTTAACTCTAATTAAACTTGATTTCCAAGCTAATATTAATTTTTATATGTCAGCAAAATAAATATTTTTCTGACCAGTGGCAGACTTAGCAGAGAGCTAAATCTCACGTACTTTCAATAAAGACTGAAAACACCCTCAAGAGCCGACAATAACTTGGGTAAGAGAGAATTAACTGTCTGTCTACCAGTAAATGTTTTGTTCTCAATCCCTACTGATAAAAGAAGTGATTTTTAGAATGCATTCAGATAGCTTTAAAAGTTTAAGTGAATATCTAAGACATGATTTTTCTATGTTTTCTTCTCTATAACCAAATCTGATATGTATCTCAAATTTCCATTAAGGATTATAAGTTAGTCATTTGATTTTCTAAGATACAGATGACTTTTTTCTCTCATTTTCCTACAGACTTCTGCATACAGTTCAATAAATGGTATTTACTAGTTTATCCTTCCATATATTCCCTTTATATTTTATTTATATTGCATTGCACTGTGACTTAGATTTAGTTATTCCTCATGGAATTATGGGGTATTATTAGTGTATCTAAACGTAGATAATGAAACTGAAGTTCAGAGAGGTCACTACAGGCCCAGAGTCATGCAGATATTCAGATTTTTAGCACATGTTTTTTTTATTACTCTCACACACTTTAGTATGTCATGGTCACAGAGAAGGAACTACAGCTTATAATAATAAACTATATTTGCAAGGAGATTATAGTGGAGATATATATATATATATATTTGCTGGTTTGGTTGTTTTTGTTTTTACCCAGCATTCATTTATTCTTTGTTCATAAGGGTATGCTGAGATCTTCCACATAGGTAAACAGGTACAGAGGCCTCAGCCAATCAGCATCCTCTAGCTAGAGCAATTTAGTTCTAGGGGGAGCATGTGTATTCCACTTAGAGCCAATTAGATGCTGTAAGGTTTTTTTCCCTGGGGCTTCTGGGAAAAGGATTCTCACTCTTTCTCTGCATCGGTTTTACTCCTTTCTGGGGTAAACCTGGGAGAAAATGGGGCCAGCTCAGAGGAAGTGAGGCTGAGAGGTAAAAAAGAAGAAATATGATCAAGGAGATACTCAGTTTTTTAAACAAACACTTGTGAAGTGCTCATAAAGGGCCAGGCACAGTCTTAAGCACTTTACAAAAACAGCTTAATTAATCCTCTTAACAAACCTATGAGGGGGGTACTATTATAATCTTGACTTTATAATTGAGGAAATTGAGACACAGAGAAGTTAAGAAACTTGCCTAATGTCATTCAGCTAATAAATGAAGGAGGGCTTCCCTGGTGGCACAGTGGTTAAGAATCTGCCTACCAATGCAGGGGACACAGGTTCGAGCCCTGGTCTGGGAAGATCCCACATGCTGGGGAGCAGCTAAGCCTGTGCGCCACAACTGCTGAGCCTGTGCTGTAGAGCCTGCGAGCCACAACTACTGAGCTCACGTGCTACAACTACTGAAGCCTGCGTGCCTAGAGCCCGTGCTCCGCAACAAGAGAATGAGAAGCCCGCACACTGCAACAAAGAGTAGCCCCTGCTCGCTGCAACTAGAGAAAGCCCACCGCAGCAATGAAGACCCAATGCAACCAAAAATAAATACATAAAATAAATTAAATAAGTAAGTAAATAAATAAATAAATAAGTGAAGGAACAGGGATTTGGACCCAGGTGATCATGCTCCATCCCAGTGCTCTTAGCTACTACGCTAGAGACATACTGTGAGTCCTTAATTACATCAATAGTAAGGTAATATATGCTTCACAATGGGTTCTCAAAGAAAAGAAGGAAAGAGGGAAGGAAGGAAGAAGGGAAGGGAAGGGAAGGGACATCCCTGATTTTTTGCATTTGACAAATTCCCTTGGTATAAATATTCTCAACATGGCTGAGTTCAAGCTATTAACACGATATTATCTGGTTTTCAAAATTCCTGAAAATTTAATAATCAAAGAGTTGGTACAAGCCAGTTGCTCTAGTACACCCCCGGAACTTACATCAAACCTCCCTTCCACAAGACTGCACTTTTATGAATCTGTAATGTTCCTTTTGGTTTAAGACTCTTGTGGTTGAGTTTTTGGTCTTTTGCAATATAAAGCATCCTAACTGATACCAAGTTTCACAGATGATGAAATGCTTTCATGGAAACTGCTCTTTGTCATCTTTGACTGCCACAGTCACCTCATGAGATAGACAAAACACTCATCAGTTTCTCCATCATAACTCAACAGAAACTGAGACTTTGAGGGGCTTATGAATTTGGAATATGTAGTACTGGCTACATAATTTGCCACACCCAGTGCAAAATGAAAATGTAGAGTCCATTACTCAAAAATCATAAGAATTTCAAGATGACAGCAGAGCATGAAACTAAGTGCAAGGCCCCTCTAAGTATGGAGCCCTGTTTAACTGCCCACAATGAAGATGGCCCTGGGCCTATGGGACTCAGCTGATAAATGTCAGAGGTGGTGTGTGAACTCAGATCTACAAGTCCCATAGCCCTTATACTCTATCACACTGCTTCCCTGCAAAATAAAGGATATGGAAATACTTTACCTATCTTCTATGTAGGATTTATTTAAATTATTAATGATGACTATATAGCATGTGGTTGATCAGTTTCAAGTAAACACATATACTTGATTCACTTAGAATCCTACGTTGCAAGGGCTATACATTAGGTCACAAGTATATCCAATCTTAATTTATTTACATTACATTTCCTTTAGGCAAAATTAAAAGAAATCTTACCGTAAACTTATTGTGAGCAACTTACATTGCACATTTTTTTTTCTTGTTTATTTTTCAAACAAAGCCAGAAAAAGAAAACAAATGCTATTCCACATACCAGACTTTTAATCAATCTATCTGATATACTGCCCCTGACGCAACCTTACAAACCCAACTGCCTTAATAGCCACAACTTAGGCAACTCTAAATACCCTAGGGAGTTTTCTGAAAAAAACAAGCAAACAAACAAACAAACAAAAACAAAAAACAAAACCCCCACATTTATCTCTGACCGCAACATTTCAGAAATACCCCAGTTACTTTCCTGGAAAACCTGGGCCTAAGTCCAGCTGTTTACAGTGCAATTACTATTTTCCAAAGTGCCAGGCTCACTCTAATGAGTTTTATTACTTAGATTTTCACATTCAAAAATCAAAACCCATGACAATAATCGGTAATATATGACAATGGAGTAATGAAATGGGAAAGAATCTTTTATATAAGATAGCATTTAGAAGTTGTATTATGCAGTTTTATATAACATCTGGTTTCCACTACTCAATTTTTGGTGATTTTTAAAGAAAGCAGAAAACTCATCACAATAAGCATCTGAATAATGCTTCATATTTAATCTATGCAAACAAATAACAGTTTATCATGAATTATAACCTAAAGGCAGAGGCTCAGTGTAAATATTGTTCTCAACATTTCTATTTACCTGTTGACTAATCTAGGCTATTTAATTTTCATTTTTGTTTGAGACATTAGAAGCCAAGAGAAAAAATATTCCAGTATGATTCCCTAGAAACATGGCAAAATGCTCCAAGTAAATAAATCAATACATTGATATGAATTAACCGTGATTTTCTAAAACATTTTAAAATTACAATTCTTGTTAATGAGTAATGAAAATAAATATACCACCAAAGAGGGCAGGGATGTGTGTTTTATATTAGCACTGAAATGAAAGCATTTCAACCAGACATGATTTATCCTTTACCAATAGTAGTACTACCTGCTCAGATCTGTCCTGGTGCTGGTATTGGTACTGAGTAAAGGTATTACAGGAAGAAGCAATTTTGTCCTTCTCAAACTGTTTCTTCACTCTGGCCAAACCTCCAGGCACTGTGCACATTTCTGATTCTTCCAGCATCTAAGACAAGAAAAAGGAAAGAAAAAGGAAATTTCAGCTTGACATCTTCTCAGGATGGGATTCTCAAGCTATTTTTAAAAAAATGGTTGATAATTATTGAGTGGTATATTAAAAAGATATTAACATACACAATTATTTCAGGAGGATCTTATTATAGAAAACCTTAATAAAAATAATTTCTCCATGTTGTTTTTTCCTGTATCAGTCTTTTGATATAAAGTCAGAAGGATCTTTAAAATATTGAGTTAATTTTCCTTATCTCAGATAGATTTTTATGTCTGGAGATTAGATCTGTTAGAATGGATTTCTCTCATAATACACAGACTAGCAGAAATTAGAATAATTGATTCAATTTTAATCCACAATAAAGTTGTCATTAAAATTCCAAATGTCTATATAGGTAACACATTATTAAGAATATTAAAAAACATTTGACTTATTCCAAAATGTATTTAAATCATTAAGGATGAACAAAATAGCTTTGAAGCTATGTTGGGGAGCATATTTTTATTAATATACATTAATATTAGTAAAAATAACAACTACTTAATACATAGTGCTGAGTGATTTTCTATGTATTTACATATATTATATCACTCGATGCTTCTCCATGTTCTGTGAGATACAGTCATTTATGGTGGGGATGTCTAAGTTTAGAAGGATTCAGGTCTATCATTGGCATTTTACAGATGAGAAAGCCTATTCCAGTAGGTGTCATTTAGAACAACCTGAATAACTGAGGAGTCTTGTCAGATATTATGCCCCTGTGGGAAGTGCAGTAATTCGAAGGCTTTGGTTTTGATGATTCAGCACATTCCCCAGCCTAGCGGGCACTCAAGCCCAGATGGGATGACAACTGTCAAGCAAACAGGTCCCAGGCCAGCCCACGTTCCTCTAAGATACATCCAGGCCCACCTGAAGCTGGGAGGAGACTCAGTGACACTTCATGCATAGGAGGTCTCCTGAGGTCTGGCCTGGTCCTGACATAACTCTGGAAGCCTTGAGACCTGAGAGTAATGAATGCCTGTGAGCTGAGGTTCCCATACCTTGGACTGTGGACTCTTGGGATCCTGAAATCTTTACCCAAATATGTAGCTCCTCAAACAAATACTAAAAAAACAGCTACTAAATTGGGGTTTTCCATACTCCAAAATACTGGAGGTGAAATTAATATTCAGGATTATCTGAATTACTAGCAAATACTCAAGTGATTGCTTTATCAAGTTCATAACCTTTCCCTAGTTACAGGGACTGCCAAATATTTAAGAATATGCACATTGACTCTATGGAAAGAAGGGATACATTCTATCAAATTCTGCAACAAACTTTACAAGTAAATCCTGGTCAATTACTGTCACTTGATACATGTTAAAGTCATTAGAAATTATGGCAACTTTTGAAATTTAAGATAAAGAAAGGGAAGGGTGAATTAAGGCTACAATATTTCTTTTACCCCCTCTGCCATTTAATTTACATAAATGGCCTTCCTCAATTGATCATATACAGATAATATATAAATATTAAATTACAGAAATTAAGGCAAATTTTGTTAAGAAGACACTTACTTTTTCCAACAACTATAAACAGTGTCCAAATGATGTGCAAATTAATCTGGTAAGCCTCATTAATTATGCTAACGAGTGGATACTTTACTAGTGTGTGCGTTTACACAAAAATATCAGTTCCTATACTGAACAGGTTGCATCTTATCTACTAAATGAATTAAAAAACAGATATATCCATTCATTTACTTTAGCACTGTGCTTTGGAATCAGATCATGTTACACAGGCAAAAATGCATACAGTTGATTATTTTTTTTTTTTTTTTTTTTTTTTGCGTTACGCGGGCCTCTCACTTTGTGGCCTCTCCCATTGCGGAGCACAGGCTCTGGACGCGCAGGCCCAGTGGCCATAGCTCCCGGGCCCAGCCGCTCCGCGGCATGCGGGATCTTCCCGGACCGGGGCACGAACCCGCGTCTCCTGCATCGGCAGGCGGACTCTCAACCTCTGCGCCACCAGGGAAGCCCCAGTTGATTATTTTTACTAGTAGTACAACCATGACCCCAGCCTTCCTGATGCTCCTCTCCAGCCTAAGGGAGAAAGTCCTTTGAGCTATAGTTTATTTAGTGATGGTGATGAGGTCTTCTTGTTCAGCTCAGCTTGGAAAGTTTACATATGTAAGATGGCAGGACTTACTCAAGGAGAAGCCTATGGCCATGAGCTGGAGTGATGTTTCTTTGCTCAGACTGAGATCACTTTGCCTTGTTTACCACCATGTACTAACATCCCAACTAATCCATGTAATTGTAAATGACCACATAACTTAGATTGCTTTGTGTCGAACCTTTTAAAAAATGTTTATCCTTATTCTATGTTTCTTATTCTCGGACACAGAAACAAGATTTGGAATTTAATGGATATGTCGATAATTATTCTATTAACGAGTTAATTTAAATACTTAATACAGAACCTACCTAATGTTATTTTAATAATAAGTTAATTTAAATACATAACACTGAAACATAGGTAAGTATATTCCATACAGAATCAGCAATTTCCTTTACAAAGAACTGTTCTTGGTTTGTACAGCATAAGAAAAATAACAATCTGGGGAGCTGGACAGACAGTAATTCTAATCCCAGTTGTGACACTTAAAACCTTGGGCTAGAGTTCCTGAACCTCAGTTTTCTTTCCTATAAACTGGGAATAGCAATACATTTCTCACAGATTTCTTGCAAGTGTTAAAAAAGATAAAGGAAATAAAACTGCACAGTACAGAACCTGTTATTTTGTTGCCTAACAAATGTTACTTCTCCTTTCTCCTCTAGGGGGCTTCTGAGGACCGATGCCTTTTCACAGGCAGGCCTTTTCGTTTAGGTTCAACAAAATGCCATCTGCCTGAGTCTAGGACAAAGAGAAACTGATCTAGGACAAAGAGTAACTACTTCAATGTGACTGAAATATAATGGATTCAGTCTGGGGCCAAATCAGTGACTTCCAAATTTTGCACATAAAATATTTGGTTTATCTGTATAGGCAGAAATTTGGTTATAAGCAGTTTCCATGATTTTTTGATTGAACAGACATTTGATGCAACTGACCAAATAAGGCAGTTATTTTGCTTTACTTTAGATATTTATCAGGATTTCTCTGAGACAATATGTGTGATCATTTTTCTCAAAATATTTATTAGCTTAGGGCCAAACCAAACAGTAGGGCACTTTTTTTTGGACCAAAGATGCTTTCTTATATAAGAGGAGGCAGTTGAATATAGTTGAAAGAGTACTAGAGTCAAGAGACTGGAATCTAGTCTGGCTTTGTCCCTGTCTAACTGCATGATCTACCATAAATCACTGCCCCTCAATTGTTTTGTCTGTAAATGGGCAGGAGAGAAGGATTATTAAATTCCTTATATGTAGAATTTCTTCAGAATAGCATTAAAATTTAAAATTTTTATATTAAATAGTGAGATAATTTAGTTTCCTTATGTGGCCAATTTAAATATTCTCCTTTTAGTACACTATAAATACGAATCATGCCTTATACAAATTTGTTTTATGGTATATTCTCCTAGTGTTTAGCAAGATAAAAGTCTTCCTAGATAAAAGATTGCTTACTAAACAACCAGTCTTTAACTGGGTATTTTCAAAATCAGCTTGTTTCACCAAGAATCATGTTTCCAATTTAGAATACTAATTTGTAGTAAAGTTCCTTAATGATCCAGCAGGGGGTGCTATGTAAGAAGACTGGCAGGAGGCGCTGGAGGGATACTATGTTTTGGAAGTGATGAAGTTACTTATGTCATTTCTGTACATTCATTCAAAATCTATGGTGTGCCTGAAATGTATTTCAATAACTATGTAAAAACTTAAATGTCATCTAGAATTGCAACATTGTTGATGAGTTTGGCACAGTCATTCTTGTCTCTGAATGATTTGTAAAGAAAAATGTTCAGAGTAGCTATTTTAGAATACCAGGCTTCTTGGCTATTCTCTCTCTCTCTTTCTCTTTTAGTTAAATGAACAACTTTGCTAATTTGGAGATTATAATTATAAAAGAATATCCTTATATTCCATTAAGCTATAAAGCTGCTACTGATAAAATGACTTATCAAATCCTGTGGATTGAAGGCCACAGAATATGGAACCCAACAAATTCTTTTGAATATGACTTTATTATGCATTCTCTCTAAAAACTGGTGGTCTTACTGAATCCTGCTGTTTCCTGTAATCATAACTGGTTTAGCAGAGTCTCTACATTGCTAATCTCCCTCATTTCTATGTTGATTAAGCTACTTCTAATGGATTTAGAGCATACAGAGAACAGAGAACAGCAAAAGAAATTATACTGCCATTGAATTTAAATGAACTATACATGAGACCAAGGAGGGCAGCATGCAGATCCACATTATTAAGATCCAAAATTAATTCCCAACCTTCCCAAGGAGAATAGCTATAGGTTAAATGATAATTATGGCAGTAGTAACACATTTATACAGTGCCTTATGGCTTACATGTAAATTATCTCTTTTACTCTTCACGGAGATCCTCTGCAGTAGATGTTTTTTTCCCATTTTTCAGTTAAGGAAACTGAAGTTCAGAGAAGGGTTAAGATAGTAGCTCAAGTCCACACAACTAATAAGTGGCAGAGCTGAAGCTTAATTTCAGATACTCTGGATTTGATACACACTATTTCTGTGTTTTTTCTACTTTATCCCATTGTCCAGTAGTATTTTATATTGCAATGTAAAGTAGGCATGTGAAAGGCAGACAAACAGCCTGACTAATGCAGAAGCACTAGAAGCAGCTTACGTTGGTGGAGAAGCTGCGGCAGTCACCCTTGGAAACAGCTGCCTGGTACCTCGCCATCCGCTCCTTCAAGGATACCACCTCCTGGAGGTCTGACACACCCTCTCTCTGCGCAGCACTGTCTTCTGCAAATCCACTCGCAGGCTTACTAGGGCCAGCAGTCACTGAAAACAAATGTAGCATCGTTTCAGGTTTTGAAAAGAAAATAGCATCATCTTAGGAACAGCGAAGGCACTTAAAACATCTGGTCTCGGAAAACAGACTGTAACATTCCATGGTATTTTCCAAGTTTCATGGTCACCCTCTTTTTTTCAAGCTTTCAAGCAAAGCTACAAAATGACTACACAGAAGCATATGCTTATGCAAACAGCAAATGAAAATATTGTCCCCACTCCTACTCCTGCAATTATTCTGATAAACAATAGGTACTTATTAAGAGATACATAATGTTAATGAACATTTCCTGAAGCATTGTGTTGGAGTTATGCTAAATGCTATAAAAGCATCATCTCATTTACTTCTCCAACATCCTCATGAGGTAGGTTCTATTATTTTCTAAAATTTATAGATAAAGAAAATGGAGAGTCAGAGTAGTTAAAAAACCTTCCCATGATCACACAATTAGTAAGTGTCAGATTTGGTGGTTTGACAAAATCTTTGGCAAGTCTAAAAATTGCTCTTTGCTTCTCTCCCTACCCTTCAACCCTCAAGGAGATAAATCTAAAATATGTGAATGCTATGAGAATTATAGACTGTGGATTTTTTTCCCTTTTATTCCATAGAGGCATATGTAACGTAAGAAATAATAGTCCCATTAAAAAAAAGCTTTGTCAGTTGTTCCAGAGCATCTTATATTTTCCCATGTAAGCCATCTACCTGACAAAAATACAGGGTATTAGGAATTACATACTTGCAAACAGAGCAAAAGACTGATTGCATGATCACAGAATAACAGTTGTTAGAAACAGGAATGTCTTAGAGCTGATATAGTCTCACCTAGTCTAACCAACTCCTTTTAGGCATAAGGAAACATGTCTAAATATTTCCTTCTGTGAAAGAAACCTAAGGATCCTCCCTGGTTAATGTGATGGTTATTTAGATATAGGTGCCAGAGTTGGTTCCAAAACTAGTTTTTCTTATTTTATCCAGTGTTCTTTGCTGTTATCACTCTGCTTGTTGGTTTACTATTCACTCTTAAAGAATTGTAATTACAAAATCATTTCAAGGGCTCCTTCTGGAACCAACCAGTATATGGTGCGTCTGTGTATATGTGTGTATGTGTGAGTTCTGATATGTTTATCACACATTCATACACCCCCTGCCTTTCACCTTAGGGCTGGTAGTCTTTTGTACTCACAGGGTTAGCAGTCTTTGGTATACTTTGTTATTTGAATCGGTTTGATTTAATTACAATGAACCAAGTCCCAGACAACCCCAGGTAACAGACCACCACCAAGCTGTTCCTTCCTTGCCCTGTTCTCCCTACCCTTTTACCCAGTCGCCACACTGAACCATCTTATTACATTGTTTGTTCTTTCTATTAGCTTCTCCAAGATTTCTGTACACAATAGCAGTTGAGAACAACTACTGCGACCCAGGAAAAATTAAAAATCATTTGTTTTTTGACTCCCTGAGTATTTGCTTTTCCTTAAGGACTTCTTATTCAGTTAAATTTTTCATTTATTTTAATAAAATTTGTAAATATATTTAAAAATTTTTAATATTTATTTTTTGTATTTTATTTCACACAGTATTAAAGGAAAAAAATATAAAGGAATAAGACATTGTATCATATGAATACTGTGATTGTAGAAACTGATATGTTCACAATAAATGTCAGTTAGTTTTTAAAATTCATCTGTCTTCCAAAACCTCATATCTACACAAAGGTACACTCCTCCAGTTGATCCTGATAAAAAGAGATTTCCACCAACTACTGAAAGTCTTTCACATGCTGAAGAAAATATATCTTTATTTTCCTCTCTGGATTATCTATTTGCACAGATGAATTCCGTTTATGTTCAGCTGTACTCTTCTTACTTTGTTGTAAATGGTCACTATATAAATTTTATTGAACATGAACCACTGAAGTTTTTCCACATTAAGATATAAATTTCATTTTGCACATTATTAATTAAAGATGTTACTCTTTTATTAATCTTAACAGAAAGTCAGCAGTTTATTTTTGCAAAAATTTGCAGCGAGTATTTACTTTCAAAATATTTCCAAATGATTTTTATCATTTTCATCCTACTGGGAAATGCCTAAGGTTAATGGTCAGGAAATCAGTTGCCTGAGTATTAAGAGATTTGGATTCCATTGCCTTGTAGCCTTTTATTCTGATCACAGAAAAAACATTACATTTTAATCTCTCTTTCTCTTTGTGTCTCTTTTTCTCACTCTCTCTCCTTCTCTTTTTCCCAACAGTAACTTTGCCTACGCAGGTAGGGTCGTGGAACAGAAAACCAACCTTCAGCTAACAAACTGTGTCCATGTTGTTTCTTAACCTCCTAAGTCAGTGTCTTTCAATTTCCTCATCTGAAAAACAAGGTGATGTTTCCTGACTAGTATACTATAAGGCAGTGCACCTATTTGTTCCTATCTTGATGCTGATGACACCTGATGTAAATTTGTAGGGTTGATAAGACAGTCCCTTACTTAGGGACTTAGGGATGTGCGGGGAAGCAGATAGGAACATTGGTCGCCTGACCTCACAATGTGCTATTTCAGAAGACTTGGATGCAACTGAGATTGGAAACAGTGTTTAATGAGTCTAGGGTAACTTTAAAGAGAAACGTAACACAGAAGAACAAGTTGGGTGTAAGACAGAGTCAAGGATGCAAATTGTACAACATGGGGAATATAGCCAATATTTTGTAATAACTGTAAATGGAAAGTAACATTTAAAATTTATATAAAAAAATTTAAAAAGCAAATAATTGACTGAAAATAATGATGCTACTGACATCAATAAATAAGTCTATAGAATAAAGTAAAAAGTACTTTGACCTCTTTATTTCACTAAGAGAACACTTGCTAATATCTGAGTTGTGAAGCTGATATTTGCTCTGTCTGATTTACAGTACAGGTGTAAGCAGAGGTGTGTCTGATTTCCTAGCCGTGGTGAAATCAGAAGAAAGGAAAGTTATCCAAAGTGAGAAGAGAACTAAGGGTATTGAAGGTTTCTTAGAAGAATTAAAATACACATTGAAGGCAGTTAACAGAGTAATATATGCTGCAGAAGAGAAAAACCAATAACATACTAACAACAATGTGAAAGAAGATGACAAAGATAGAGAACAGACAGCAAAATTCACACTAGAAGATAGCAGCATTTCTGTGGGAGGGAGGGAGAGTGGGCAGAACAAATGAAATACAACAGAAGAAATTTTTGCTGAAGATAAAATTTGGGCATAGATATAAAGTATTTACCATAATATAGGAATAAACTTAATTTTAAAACACCAATATATCAGTAAATCCTAGTAAAACATTTCAGCATCAAGGAAAAAGATAAGTTCTACAATTACCCAGACACATGAAGAGTTTCTGTGATGAAGAAACAAAATTCAGAAATGCTGAGGTATCTCCTTTATAACACTGAACACTAAAAGCAGTTAGAGAACTGATTACTTGTTACTGAAATTTTAGTTTTGAGGACTACTCTATGTGAATTCAAGTTGTTACTCATGTGAGAAGTCAGCAAAAAGCCAAACACAGTCCATTTAACAAAAGTCAGCCAAAAAAGAAAACAAAGAGCCTTAACAAAGAAAACCAAATGTGATAGTGTAAAACCAAATGTAAATAAACACGGGTCAAACTTCACCCTAAAAGACAAAGGCAAATAAATCCAACCATATGCCACCTGCAAGACACAAAATTTAAAAAGAAAATATTGGTCAAGAAATTGTGAGGCAAAAATAAATGAAGTTATCATGACTATATTCCTTTCATGCAAAGCAGCATTAAAGACAAAATATGTTAAATGAAATAGAGAGCTCTTCTGTAGATAGAAGATGCTGCCCCACTATGAAGTTGTAACAATGATGTGACTCTACATGCTGACTAGCATAGTACAGAAACATATAAAGAGCATCCGTAACAAGAGGAAGGATTTTATGGGACTGTAGTCACTGTGGATGACTTTAACTTTCTTCCATCTTTGCCATATGAAACTTCAAAAATAAATTATTTGAATTATATAATTAATAAGGTTTATTTTAATATACTTATTCATTGTTATTAAATAAATATTGATTATCTACAATAAGCATAAGACACATTCACTATGCTCCAGAGATTTCAGTCTAGTTGGCAAGAGAGACAGGCAATTATAGCCCAAGGAGTTTATGGTTTTGCACCAGGTGAGTTGGGAGCCTACGGGGGAGAACCTAATCCACCTGGGTGTGTCAGTGAGCTAAGTGTCTGGAAGGCATCCTGAGAAGTGGAACATTTGCACTGAAACACGAAGGAGTTGGCCATGTGACTATGTGGAACAGAGACCAATGCAGAAATGGGAGGAAACAGCAGAAATACCAACAAATCATGTTGGGAAAAGCAGGTAATGATTTTGAGGAAAACATTCAGAGTTCCTCACCACACTGCAAAGTACACACGGAGTATTAGATAAGGACTTAAATGCTTTTTAAAATGATGAAAAATTCTTAGAGAGATATAAGTAATTCATAAAATGATTTTAGTTGGACTTTCTAAGCATGAAAATTCAAAGTGAAAAAATCTTTCAAAAAATTTATATGGCAAAAGTAAAATAGAAAAGGGACAATTATAATAAATAGGTTGAAGTGTTAATTTTCTGTAAAGAATATTGGTTGGGAAAAAAAACTAACGTTATTGAAAAGACAGATAAAGGACTTAAAAGAATGATTCACAAGTAAAAAAATAATAGCAAATATGTATAAAGTGCATTCTATGTGCCAGACTAGTTAGTCTTTTTAATGGTCTCAACCACCCTATGAGGTAGAGACTATATTTATTTTTAATCTCCATTTTACAGATAAGGAAACAGAGACATAGAAAAGATTGTAAAACTTGCTCAAGATCATGTGGCCGGTGAGTTTCAGAGCTGGAAGGGAAGCTAGACAGTCTGGCTCCAGGTTCTGTGACTTAAGTACAATTCTATGCTACATCTCAAGAAGTTCAAGAG